GTAGAGCACATTTTGGATCTAGTTGTAACTCCTCAGAATTGAATGACTCAGGAGATCAAGCAGCAGATAGTCAACAGGAGTAAGAAGCTGAAGAAACGATGCTTGAGTCTAGTACGTCTCAATACGTACGGAAAAGGACACTAGAAAACTATGTGCCATGAAATAATATACATATAGAAATGTAACCTAGACCCTATAATAAAACAACAAATTGAATCAAAGTAAGTGAAAAGAAAAACTTAATCTGTGAGAAAAATGGAAAGCAACATCAAAAAATTATCATTGAAAAATTCTGGAAAAGGTGTGTGACCCTCCACATGAATAGCTAAGAAAGGGTTTAGAAATGTTTACCTTAAGATTGAATGTCATTTTGTCCATGAAATTAAGCCTTTCTTGGAGACGTCAACAGTCAAATTGTTTTGTGTTAACACGAGGCCATAAGTAGAGCAGTTTTGAGGCGGTTCAAAAAGAAACAAAGCCAAGCGATTATTCCAGTCAGTAGGAGCAGGTGTAAACAAGGAAATGAGCCAATTATTCCGATGTTGACGAGCAAGTTGGTCATGTCTGAATTTACTTCTTCTCAGTTCATTGACGATACAGAGAACCAGTTTAACTCAAGTCAACGCAAATATTTTATCCTCATTTGAAAACTGATTTATTTTCTGGCAATTAAGTGCAAGACAAACGCACTGAGCATAATTTGATGGAGTAAACTTATCCAATTTAGCTTTGTCCAGTTGCAAATTTATTCATAGTTTATGCCAATCTCAAGCCCAGGGAAGCTCCTTGTCAGCGGTATAGTTGCCAAATAATGACCTTTAGCAGGAGCCCATGCTCCTGCCTTTAGGGAAAATCGCAATCTCGAGTCCAGGGTCATTTTAGCTCCTTGTCAGCAGTATGGTTGCAAATAATGATATCATGTGGGTAAGTACGTCATGTATGAGGAATTATTATCCCTAATACATAGTATGTCCTATACTTTGCATAAATATAATATCCTATAATTCCTCATACACGACATACCTAGGATTATGAAGCGACCATACCGCTGACAAAGAGCCAAAATGACCTTGGGCTCGATAACGACGATTTCTGAGATGAAAATTCGATTCTCCCAGAGGTCATTATTTGGCGACCATACCGCTGACAAAATAACCCTGGGCTCGAGATTGAGTTTTTACCAAACAGTGTTACAGTAAGTACATTACGATTTAATGTTGAGTCTTCCGGTGGAAAAAGCCAGAAAAAGTCGCGCCGGAATGTTAAAGACGTGCCGGAATGTTTAAGTCGTTCTGGAATGTTGAGTCGTACAGGAAAGTTGAAGTCGTGAAAAAAAAAGTTTCTGAGAAATACGGAATGGCACTAACTGGGCTCCGTAAAAGATGGACCAGCACGGACTTCCCGTGAGGCTTTTGTGGTCGCGTCGCATTATCGCCTCCAAATTATATTTTTCCTCTCACAATTCAAGCATTTTCCTGAGACAGAGCGCTGGGATCGGTGCGTTATTCAACTTTCACGGACAAAACAAAGAACCACATCTGTTTCATGTCCAATCAAACTGGATGCCACCAGTTCAGCCTTCTTTTGTCCTTGAGAGCTAAGAAACTAAGGCAAAAAAAGAGGTAAAAAACAACTCTGCTTTACACCTCAAAAACAGCAGGCAAAGGAACAGCAACAACTATCGTGAATAAGACAGAAAAAATAGAAGAGGCCAAAGTGCAACCCGACAACAGAGTTCACTACAAACCTCTCAGAGCACCGATAGTAAACATGAAAACACGCCGGCAAACACATTGATGACATGACTAAGAAACTCACAATCCGCCTAGATTGGGAGTATCAATATTCTATACGCTCATGAAAATACACAAACCTATACTGGTCGGTAGACCTATAATTTCAGGGTGTGACGGCCCTACTGAGAATTTCATTCTTGGTGGAGACACCTCTCCAGCCTATTTCAACAATCCTGTATAAAGGATACTACTGTTTTTATCAACTTTTATGAAAAAACAAACGTAGGCAAAGATACTATTCTAGTATCAACTTTTTCACAAATACACCATAAGAAGAAGGAACGAATGTAGAATGTGGAGCGTACAAGAAGTTCCACAACCATAACGCACCGATCCCAACGCACAAGCTAAGGGAAATGCTTAGCTTAATCCTTGTAGAAAATTCGTTTCAATTCAATGAGGAGAACTACCTCGAAACACATGGAACCGCTATGGGTATGAAAATGGCGGTGTCATTTGCCAATATTTCCATGGCGGAAACTGAATCGAAATAATCCAACAAAGCGAGACCAAGCCATGAGAATGAAAACGTTACAGAGATGGCGTTTGTTCCCTTTGGGATTGCGACAGAAAGAGGTAGAACGGTTTTTTAAACGAGCTAACTATTTCCACCCTACTATCAAATTAACGGCCGAAATATCAGGGAACCAAATCACTTTCCTCGATACCATAGTGTTTAAAGGAAAGAGATTCGCAAAAGATTCCATATTGGACAACAAAACTCATTTTCCTTCCAATTTACGCACTTCGCCTCGTATCACACACTAGGCGTAAAATATGGTTTCATCAAAGGCGAAGCCATAAGATTGCTTAGAACTAACTCTTCGAAAGAAACATTTGAAGAAGGCCTTTTAAAATTAAAACAACGCCTCATAGCAAGAGGGTAACCAGGAAACATCATAGGAAGGTCTCTGCCCGAGGTCAACTTTGCCTTCAGACAATCGGCTCTTACACATACACAAAAGCGAAAAGGTCACGAACGTTTAGTGCGTTTTGTCACAACGTACCACCCGGCAGTTAAAAATTTAAAACAAATACTGATGAAGCAGTGGAGTCTGAAACACGATCAGCCCTTGCTGAAAACAATTTTTACAAAACCTCCGATCATCTCTTACAAAAAAGGAAGATCCTTTAAAGACACGCTGGTGAGAGCAAAAATATAATTTGAAAGCGACCACAAAAGCCACATGGGGAATCTGCGCCGGTCTGTCTTTACCTTTATTCTCATTGCAATGTCCCTTATCAGATTTCAAGAAAGTAAGCAAGATTTGATTGGTTTACCTTTGCTTAACAAGCGGGAGACTGGTTCAAATTAGAATCGGTAACAAATCGACACTAACACGAAAGATTGAGTGTTATCACTTGCGATGGATATTTTGACGCTAACGATTTAGTTTTATCACTAGCGATTGATATTTTTGGTAGCTAACGTGTAGCTGTACCCTCCCCCCCCCCATTATTTTTCTTTACTTGTTCTAGATAGAGTGTAAGATGATTTTCATTTCGTTCAGGCTGCCCCTTAGATAATATTTCGAAAAATGTAGGCCTCAAATACAACCAACCGCCACTTACTCCTCCTAAAGACGCACTTTGTGAGCGCAACAGTCGTTTGAGTGTGAAACCACCAATCCAGTAGTTCAACAAAATTTTTATTCTAATCACCATAAATTTGCAGCTTATAAAATAGAAATTATCGATAATTTTAGGATGTTTATCTCAGAGGCCTCACAAGAGTCTGTTTCAGCTTTCTCCGCCTTCACAGTACAACTTGGTTACCGAGAGTTGCGTGACAAGCCATGTAATTTGCTGCAAACACGGCAAACCCTCAACAGACTTGCACTTTTTATTCCAGTAACTAATCGACTAGTAAGTACATCACAAATATAAATGTTTACATTTAAAAGTTAGCTCTTCTTAGTAAACAGTCTCCTTTGCAGCATCGATAAGCTTGGTCACGCAACACTACTGCAACGTAACACTCGCTGCAAACGAGACTAACCGTCATAAGGATTGTAAATATCAAAACTCCATGCACAATAATCTCATGAAAAACTACTATACTATAACACAAATTCTTGAATTTTACGTTAATAAAGATCAATAACGGCACACTGAAATCCGTGCCAACCATGTCAGATCGTCCCGGACACTTTGAAGTACCACTACCCCGGTCTCATATCCTTCCCGCGATCACTAAGATAAGGCTCTATTTTAAATTTCATTGAAAATAGTTCTCAGTTCTTTTATTTTAATTTGTCTAAAAACTTTACATGTTGATCTTTCTATCATGGCAATTTCCTCAAGTCAGAGGTAGAGAGCTGAACAGAAATCACAACTAAGAAAGACTTTGACAAAAGACACAAAGTATTCCAAAAATTTCAACTACAGAGATTTTGTGCTACGACCGAAAACACAAAGTTTCGTTCGCTTGATTAGCGTATTTTATTATGAGGCGATTTAGATACTCCAAAGTCACGGTAATGTGTAATACAGTTATTGTACTATGAAAGCTGATGGTGAACTATCTCACAAACAGAATATTTTCCTTACAAAAACTACCCAATTGAAACCAAATTTTAAATTAAAAAGAACTAGTCACGACTTTTGGAGATAAATTTAAGAATGAAAGAGAGACAATTGAAGCTGGATGAGGTAGTGGCTGAGGGGAGGGAGGGAGGGAGGGAGAGGGG